GGTGGAGGGGAGCGCCGGCCCCGGGCGCGCGGTGCTTGGTGAGGGGAGAGCGCCAGCCCCGGGCACGCGGCGCTTGAGGGGAGAGCGCCAGCCCCGGGAATGCGGCTATGGGGGGGCCCCAGCCCCGGACACGCAAGGAGGGGCACCGCCCCGGGCACTCAGCGGGCGAACGGCCACGCCCCCTGGCACCCGGCAACCCCAAATGGTTAGGGACCACTGCCTTAGATGAACAAAAATATATAGTATTGTGAGCTTTTGAGGGTTTAGCCATGAAAGCTCATGATACTATATGTTTTTGTTAGTCTCTAAGGCCTGATCTACACTAGACCAAGCAGGTTGGCTTAAGGTACACCATACTACTATGCAAAATGCACAGCTAGATTCGGCTTTCTTAAAGCCAGGCTGCCACAACGTCTACGCTGCGGGAGGCCAAAACTGCCTTTTTCCTCCCTGGGTTACTCGGAGCAGGTCACACTCACGGGTGTGCCTGGGTGCCTGATGGTTTTAACATAAAAGGAGATCCTGAGTACCCCATCAGCTTCCCTTATTCCTCACAGAATGAGGAGTACAGAATGCTGGTGGGGGCTGCCCTCTGTATTAGATTTGGGGGTCTACACTAGACCTGCTAAATCAAATGCTATAAGATCAATCTCTGGAGGGTCTATCTTCTCCGTAGTGCAGTCCAGGTGCCACAGGACTATTTGTTTTTGAAGTTACAGACTAACACAGCTACCCCGCTGAGCCAGTACAATAAGACTCTGCTCCTTTAAGTGCTCTCAGACCTGATGAGCTTTGTAGACTGCTCCCCAGTTTTGCAAGAGCCAGGGTCCTATCTGTTTATGCCAGGGGCTGGAGAGCAACCCTGACTTGGGAGGGCAAAACTCTTGCCCTCTGCAACCCGATTCAAGCTTCAAGTTTGTGCAGAACTTTTCAAGGTGCAACAGAATAAGCAATTGTCATGCTGCTGCATCGGGCAAAAGAAATTATGTGGTCGCATGAAATCCTTGTCAAGGAGCGGGGTGGTTAAGAGCAAAATGTTAAGAGCAATGCTGACTTGCAGCAAGTGAAAATCCAGCTGAAGCTGCTTAGTTTTGCCTTATTTTCATTTTCAGTGAAGGCGAGATCTTCTCCAGCTCTCAACGTTTTAGAGGACTGCCACAGAGGAGATGGACAATTTTTACATAATGACCTAATGTCTCTCAGACAAGCACATGCAGCTATTTCTCTGTTACTGTTTCCTCTATCCGCTTTTAAACAACCTCGCCCCCACAGTGCAGCAAGAGTTGCATCCGGACAATCCTCATTTTCATCCAGTCAAGAAAAATTAATCATTCAAAATAAGCTCTGCTTGAGGTCTAATAAAGCTGATGTGGTAACGATCTACTCAATAAGAATCTATTACAGGTGGATTGCATAAATATTAATAGTGCCTACTGTGGTTAATTAGTGTTTGCATATAAATCTAAACATGAATTTCCATCTTGTTGGCAGCTGGAAGCGCTGCATGTATGAGATTTATCAACACCCAATGAGCCATTATGGGTTTCTTTCAGCTGTTTTATTTTTATTCTTAATTTCTTTCATTTAATAAATAGCTCTCAAATTGCTGCAGCAAGGAAGAAATCATCCGTTTTCATCCTGTTGCCTGCTGGGCTTGCCTGGCCCTCATGTCAAGTGGAGTATATAGGATTTTTCATTGTGCTGTCTCAGTGTTCCTAGACTCTGCTCATCACTGAGAGAGGCTGGAGAGTCTGTTAGGCTCAAGGAGATATGTGAACTATGGATGCTTGGACATGTAGTTCTGTCTGTCTAGGCTATCACAAAGCACCTATATTTTCTTTTAATGAAGCAAGGAGAAGGGCTGGGTGACACTTAAGAGTTAAAATATAAAGATTGAGACTAGATGCAAGGTCAGAATCTTCTCTTTACTGTTCTTACTCTAGTGTGTAGCTTTACGGATAGGCTTGCCAGATGCTTTCACCAAAAATCCCCAACATGGCAGGGAAAAAACTTGTTTTTTTGTTGTTGGGATTTTTTTTTTTTGGTGTGTGGGTGTTTTTTGCTCAATCAACAACCGAGAGACAAAAGTTGTTGAGCAAAATAATCCAAAAAACCCAGGAGACCAAAATACATGTCCAGGCTTTTAGGTATCTCAAAGGGTGTCACAGGGGAGGGAGAAAACTTGTTCTTCCTGGCCTCTGAAGATAGAACAAGAAGCAATGGGCTTAAACTGCAGCAAGGGAGGTTTAGGTTGAACATTAGGAAAAAGTTTCTAACGGTCAGGGTGGTTAAACACTGAAATAAATTGCCAAGGGTGGTTGTGGAATCTCCATCACTGGAGCTATTTAAGAGTAGGTTAGATAAATGTCTATCAGAGATGGTCTAGACAGTACTGGGTCCTGCCGTGTGGGCAGGGGACTGGACTCGATGACATTTCAAAGTCCCTTCCAGTCCTAGTATTCTATGATTTTTATCGGACAGGGGCCAGAAATAATGGACTGTCTGAGCGAAAACCAGACTCCTGGCAACCCTATTTATGGACACCAGTGGAGTTACCCTGAATACACACAGGCCTCAGCGAGGGGAATGAAACCCACAGTATAGTAACCTAAGATTCTATAGCTACGTGACTGATAACAGTATGTGCCAGGAGCCGATCGCCTCCCTGGGCAAGGTGGGCAGGCCCTGGCTCTCTGCTTCTAGAAGGGGCAGAGCCTCAGGAGGAAGGAGTGGAGGCACCCAACCCTCAGTGCTACCCGGAGTATGCAATGTAGCGCTCTGGCAGTGATTTATAGAGTCTGGGGCTGTGGCTGTTGCTGCTGCTATGGCAGCTGGAGCCCCAGACCTCTTTGAATTGACGGGCCCTGGGGAACCTATCTCCTTTACCCCTCTGCTGGAAGGCCTGCGTATGCAGAATTAGCCCTGCCTTCCTCAGAGCTTTTAGAGCCCTTGACTTGGAAGTTCTGGTCGATCTGTTTTGGATGAAATAGCATGTATTAAAACGTACTTTTGTACTTGTTTTTGGTGAAGATGAAGGTGGTTTGCTCAGCCCTCGGCTGGAAAAGGGCAATGTCACTTATTTCTGATCAAAAGGCCACGTAACTCTGCTTAAGAGAATCCACAATTATATGCAAATCAATTCAGGTCCAGGGAAAGACCCCTTTTGCACCAATTCCCAAGCCACAGAAGCAATCTGTCATAGAGGGTGCATGCACAATGCTCATCTCCCAAACTCCCAGCTGTCATTACAGACACATTTCCTAACTGGCTCCCTTTCCTGTTTAATAGAAAATTTACTCTTATTTCTTGTCATAAAACATAGACAGTGTTCAGGGAGGGGAAGAAAGGGAAACCACATTGGATTTCATAAATACAATTTCATCCATACCTTCCAGATGTGAGGCTCTTAAGCATATGTTAGCATTCCGTTAACAGGGGTTTAAGTCCCAGTTGTAACTGTACCTAAAGTTTCAGTGGTGCTCACAATGGCTTTATTTCCATATAGGCGCTAATCAGATTCACTTCCACATTGACCTGGAAGCAGTTCTATTGTCACGTAGGTATCCTGGAAAAAAAAAAAAGTCTCCTTTGCACATGCACAGTGAATGTTACCGATTTCCTTTTAAACTGCAGAGACTCTCTGTAGCAAGAGACTGAGGGGACATTTGGTCTGGATCTCTCTGATTTAGAGGAGAAACTCCATTTTTATTCATATCAAACTTTTCCTCAGAAGAACATCCATGGTAAAAAACTAGGGATTCTATTTAAATCTGAAATTCTTGGTGTTTGTGTAAACAGTGTTTCATCCACAGTGAAAGATAAGTCAGTTAGGATTTAACTAGGGGTACGTCTAGACTACATGCCTCTGTCGCCATAGGAAAATGAAGCAGCGATTTAAATAATTGCCGCTTCATTTAAATTTACATGGCTGCCACGCTAAGCCGACAAACAGCTGATCAGCTGTTTGTCGGCTCAGCGCTGTAGTCTGGACACGCGGGTGTCGACATCAAAGGCATTTGTCGACCACCCAGGTATGCCTCCTGGGATGAGGTATACCTGGGTGGTCAACAAATGCCTTTGATGTCGACACCCGCGCGTCCAGACTACAGCGCTGAGCCGACAAACAGCTGATTAGCTGGCAGCCATGTAAATTTAAATGAAGCGGCGATTATTTAAATCGCTGCTTCATTTTCCTATGCCTGGTAGCCTAATCTACATACCTCTGGCGACAGAGGCATGTAGTCTAGACGTACCCTAGGTCTCTGGAATCTTCCCCATTTCTTCAGCTGGCTTCTAGAGCTGGAAATCTCTCCCTACTCTGCCCTCAACAAAACATTTTTCATTGGAAAACATCAATTTGTGGAAATGAATCTTGCCTAAAAAGGTTGGCTTCTGTAAATTTGACTCAATTTTTTAAAAAGTTGGAAATTGTTTCATTTCAATGTTTTCTCTCAACAAAAAAATCCAGTTTTCTGGTTAAAAAAAAAACTGTTTCAAAATTGAAGCCAATTACAGTACAAAATGTTGACGTTATTTTAAAAAAAATTGGTGAGCTATTTCTTTCAGATTTTTTTTTTGGTGGGGTATGTGACAGTTTAGATGGTTTGTCCCAGTTCAGGAAATGTTTCTCCCCATAAGGCTCCCATGCTATCAATCAAAGAAGACTAAATGCAGCTTCACCATAGTGCATCAATGCCACCAACCACTCAAAGGGGTTTCTCATGTGTATCGCAATGTCCCCCTATGCCTAGGGGCACAGCATATTACCTCCTTTTAATGCTTTTAACCTCTGCTGGGCCATAGAATTAAGACTGGACTAAACACTCAAACTCAGATCCTCAGTAGATGCTAAACCTCAGTAGATGCTGACCCTGAACTTTAAATGACTGTAATCTCATCAGCTAATACCTGTATAAAATTTGCTCAAATATTTCGCCTTTTTCCCAGTTTTGTCCCCAGGTGCGTATCAAATGAATTCACCACTAATCCAGTCTGCAGTGCTATAAAATGAGAGTCTGGACACATAATCAGACTATAATATTTCTAATAATTCATCTTTATAATCAGAGATGGTTATTTAATCAAAATAAAAAACTGTGGGTAGATCCAGACAGATGAACTTTTCTGTGTCTAGAAAGCAATACTTTAATTGTTGCCTCCATTTAAAAAAACCCCACCCCTAATTGTTCTTTTATGCTTAAAATTCTTTCAAGAGGAAATAATGTCTTTTTTTATTAGCACAGACACCCTGTAATCCCAATTACTTTTGTGTACTTGTAGCATACAGCAAAGCAGAGCAGTGTGTCCAACCTTTTTAAGCACAAAAATACTTTATGAATTTAAGTGCAATCCAGGATCTACCAATCCAGGGCTTGTTGATGAACAATGGCAACACACCAGTCCCTTCCAGCCCAAAGAAGAAGAGACTAGTCTCTTGCACAGGTCAGAACGGGGGACTGCAGTGTTCTCTTTCCTGCATGAATGTGACAATGTTTCTACAGTAATACTGGATGTTGTTGCTTTTTTTTAATGTTGTCAGTACTTAACCAGCTTGTAGGGCTTAACTCCTGTGTGTTTGTAAAGGACTTTGAGAGCCTCTTGTGTGTGGCACTATCAAAACACAAAATAATAGAAATGATACCTAGAAATTAGACAGATCTGAATAACCATCCCCTAATGAGATCTAGACAATCCTCAGTGCAGAATACATGTTTTGAAGAAAGGGAGGCTGATACCTTCAATGTACACTTAGCTTTTAAACACATTGAATGGCAATTCAGAAATCCTAAAAATACATGGATTTGGCCTTTAAACCAAGGCTTGTAAATACTGTGTGAATCCGAGTTAATGCCAGGAGTTTTCAACCTGTGGCCTAAGATTTCCAAAGGGGTCAGCACCTGCATATGAAATTGTGTTGGTAGCTGCAAATGAGGTTTGAAAACCATTGCTGTGTGCTATTTAAACTTTACAGAATGAGGCAAGAATTGGTTGTCCTCATTGTGACATTTTATCAATTAATCAGTGTTAGTTCTGCTTACAGTTCTCCTGTGTGGAAACTTCTCACTGCTGGCAAAGCTGGAAAAGAAAAGGCAAGATTTGTGGTTTTTCTTACATACTTCAAATTTTTTTACAGAAATGCAAGGTATATTTTATGAGCAGACTACTTATTTTTTTTTCTACATGAAAATCCTTTTTCTGTGAAAGGGAACTGCATTGCATTTACTTATCAGGGCTGGCTGGGGTGAAGGAATCTGATATTTATTTAAGAATAAATCACCACTCTTGCTCTGACTCTACATGTATATAACCTATCCGATTGCAAATTTTTTCTTGCTGGGTAAGAAAGAGCTGGTGAAAGATGGTAGAGGCTAATGGTTTGAGTAAAGGGCTCGCTCAGGGAAGAGGTCCTACATTTGTGTAGATTTTTTTCTTTGAAAGAAAAAAGAGCTTTGGACACCTACATTCCTAACCTTTTTAGTTCTCAGGGGGTAGCTGTGTTAGTCTGTATGTGCAAAAACAATGAGTCATCCTGTGGCACCTTCGAGACTAATAGATTTATTAGGGCATAAACTTATAAATTTTCAACGGTAAAACCCTCTTCTGTAAATTCTATATGAAAAACCTTGCTATCATATAGTAGCCCAATGTCTGTGACTGTAATATTGAAACGCTGGCTGTTCCCTCTGGGCAGCACTGTTGCCTCCCGCCCTGGCGCTCAGCTGACTACTGCGCCACTCAGCAGCACGGCCGTCCTTAGGCATGCGCGGAGTATGCAGTCGTATAGGGCACCACATTGTCTGGGGCACCACTCTGCCAGCCTGGGACGGAGGGGAAGCATACACGTGTGCTCTGCACCGGAGCCAGTAGGGGCGCTGCTGGCACTAACGGCCCTGCCAAAAGATCCCACCGGGCCAAGGGGACTCCAGTGAGGAGGCCGGCAAGCTGACCCTGGCTGGAGAAGGGAAGCTGTCAACCCAGGCGGCAGCGTCAGGAGGAGCTGGGGCTGCACTGGGGACTGGAGGGAGCGGGGTTATGCGTGGCTTGGCGTTGCAGCACCGTTTTTAAAAACAGCAAAGCTGTGGCTTGGAAGGAGACGCACTGAGGAGAGCTGGGGGAGCAGAGCCTCGATAGAGGCGGGACCGATCATGTTGTGATGGGCAGGGGCTGCAGACGCTGAGCGGCTCGGCTCCAACTCTGGCATGTGGTCTGGAGCCTGGGTTGCAGGGACTTCTGGGGCCCAATTGCAGACTCCAGTCCTGCAAATGGGAAGGCAGAAGGTAGGAGAGGCGAGGGGAGGAGAAAATAGGGGGAAGGGATGGGAGAGGAAGGTGCTTGTGCTGATGGGAGGGGGGCAGGTCAGGAGAAGAAAGGGGAAGACACCAAGGGAGAGGGGTCGAGGAGAGACTAATGCCGGGGTGGGGGGCAAGTGGAGACAATGAGGAAAAGGGCAAGAGGGGAGGTGTCAGTGGGAGGGGGGACAGGGTGACACTGGGAGAGGAAAGGAGAGGGGAAAGGCATTGGGGGCTAGAGGGGGAAGGGGGAGGTGCTGAGGAGAAGGCTTGAAAGAAGGGGTGGCATGAGAGAGGTGGGGTTGGAGCAAGTCATATGTGAGGGCACAGGGGCATTAGGGGAACAGGGACAGAGAGTGGTGAGGGGGTGGGCATCAGGGAAAAAGAGGGCAAAGTGGGCAGGAGCAGGGGCAGTAAGGAAGAGGGAGGCACCAGGAGGGTGCAGGGCTAAGGGAAAGTGCAGGTGCCAGGGGATTCTGGGGGTGAAGCAGAAGGGCAGACACCTGCAGGGGAGGGACCAGCACCAGAGGAGAGAGGCAGGGGAGGTGCTTAGAGGTTGGTGTTAGGAGAAGGGATGAGGAGGGGTAGCTCACATGATCAGAGTAGGGCTACTGGAGAAGTGGGCACGGGGGGGAGAGAAGGGCTGGTGGAGGGAGGCAGGTCTCAGGAAGGCTGAGGGCAGTGAGAAGGGCAGGAGTCAGGACAGCAGTGGAGGGTGAAGGTTGGGGGCAGCAGGCCCCAGGGGAGCTGATGGAGCAAGGGGAAGAGACATGGCAGCAGAGGGCAAGGGGAGAGGCACATCCAAACAAGCCACATGAACTCAGTACTGGTGCACAACACAAAATTCATCCTGCTCATGGGAGGAAACTCTTAGAGGGAGCACTTCCTCCAGCCTCTCCGCCCTCCCCCTCCTCCCCTGAGTTAATGTCTCACACATTGGGTTAATGCAATTGCAGGATAGTTGCATGGGGGAGGGGGGGTGTTGGTGGGGGCCAATCTAATCTCTATTGGTAGGAGGAGGATGTCTGGGACTGCCCCAGCCTTGAGCCTCCCACACCCCAGGTACCCTGGAGCTCCAATGGCCATGAAGAGGTGCTTCTTACCTGGCCCCAAGCTGCTACGGCCTGTGTTAAACAGGAGGTCAGATTAAGGTTAGAAGGGACTACTGCAGTCATCTAGCCTAACCATATAAAACCAATAGGCTGAATGACATGGACATTCCTCAAATGTATCCAGTCAATAGCTATACCAGCTAGACTCCTAGAAGCCTTTCGCTATTTGTTGTTTTTTGTATTAGTTGCAAAATAGAATTGGGTCATTTTACAACACAATTTTTCAAAGTCTGCTGAAATGTCTTTTGCCTTAGTTTTAATTAATGTGATGCACTAATACAAGGCCTCCACAACCAAACGATCTGCCTAAAGAAAAACCCATAAGTCCATGAGTAACCAACAGTACCAATTTAAAAGGCAACAATTCCAAACAATGGGGGTTTCAGGCTATAACCCAGTCCCAACACGTAAACCCATACAAGTTTTTCTCTGGACACTTTGCATTCTTCCCTCCTTCCTCCCCTGCCACTGTCCATGATAAAACTTCATAAACTCTTTTTAAAAATCTCTAAATTACATGATACAATGTCGGGCCAGTCCCTAGATTGTTACCATTCAGATGTCACTTTCGCTCTAGCTTCATGATTATCAGCTTTGGTCTTTCCTTGCATTAGAACATTCTTTATGCTGATTTCTAAAATGATGTGTCTTATTCAAAAAATTAATACTAGGGGAGTGCAGAATATTAGTGGACCAGACACATGAATCACTAAGGTCTTCTCCCTATCCCCATCAATATCATAACATTGTTTGATTATTAGTCATAACTGTTTGAACATGCAGTATGTTTAGCCATTATAGATGGTGAAGAAACTCTGATCAGTTTCCTTCTGGAAATCCCTTTTCCCATATATATTTTTTTTAAACAAAACAGACTAGACAGGCTATAAAAAGAACAGAAAGAAAACTTGGCCGTCTCATACTTGAAACTTTCCAACTCCTGCTGAGTACTTTATGCTTATATTTGCATTACATTTCCCACTGATATCCAGTGAACTCCTATCCCATATTATTTTCTACCAGGAAATGGATCTTTAATACATAAAACTTCTCCAGAAAACTGACTGGATTATGACACAGCAAAGTATTACCCAGACCCATACAGCATATCTTCACTACAGAGCTAACTTGAATTATTTACACTCAGGTGAATGCCTCTCAAGTCAGCTTAGTTTGGTTGAGAGCTGCCTCATTGAGGCATAAATCTCCAGCTACACAGAGCATTCTTACCTGCTGATGAGTTGTGCTGACTGGAGCTGTAGCCTGTATCACTGATGGGCCAGCCAACTTGAATTGGAAACACTAAGGCTACGTCTAGACTGCAGAGTAAAACTGGATGGTCTTTCGAAAGAGGCTTTTTTGCAATGGCGCGTCTACATGGCCCCAAATTTTGGAAGAAACCTGCTTTTTCGACACATCCTTTATGCATCATAGAACAAGGTTTACAGGGATGGCAAAAGAGCGCATCTGCTTTTCTGAAATTTTTTTTGGAAAAGCGGACATGTTCCTTGGACGTGGCATTGCTTTTCTGGGATACCAAAAAAGCGTTGCAGTCTAGACATAGCCTAATATACTTGAGGAGAAGGTTTTGGTATGGGACTAGGATATGGACTTGAGTTAGAGGCGATGCTCAAGTGAACTGTAGTAAAGACAGGCCTTTAAAATAGTCAGGCAAAACTAGCTTGCTTACTCGGTTTCATGAATAGACATGTCACTTTTAGAGTCCTGAGGAAACAAACCATGCACAGTAAAGTGTTTTAAGCTCTTTTAATAGCTGAGCCGCAGGAGCTTACTGCACACAGCATGTGAACCAGACCGACCACCTGCGATGTTATCATATGGTGCCTTTTAGTGGCTTCATCAGCGCAGGTCAGATTTTGAGTCCTGACCTTCATTTTTCCTCAAACAATGGCCTATGCTTACATCAGTATACAGCTGTTCTATGGATGCAACACTTATTTGTATGCCCAGATCAGGTAGCTAGATAACCATCCTTCTGAACTGTGCATGCAAATGAGAGTTGTGCTTGCCCAAAACAGGGGCATGTATAGTCTGAGAGTGCATTTACACAGCACCCTAAACTTGAAATAAGATACGCAATTTGCAATTTTGAAATACCTTACAGGCAGTCCCTGGGTTACATGGATCCGACTTACATTGGATCCCTACTTACAAACGGGGTGAGGCAACCCCGCACTAGCTGCTTCCCCCCAGAAGACCAGGGAGACGCAAAGCTAGTGCCCCACCCCCAGCAGACCAGGGAGACGCAGAGCGGCTTTTCTCAGCAGACACCTCAGCTTAAGAGTAAAGGACTGAGGGAAGTGAGGTGTGGGAGAATAAAACTGAGCTCTGGAGAAATGTTTGGCTACAGTTTCCCCTACAATATGTACCAGTTCCGACTTACATACAAATTCAATTTAAGAACAAATCTACAGTCCCTATCTTGTACGTAACCCGGGGACTGCCTGTATTTTGAAACTTGACATGTCTACACAGCACCAAAGTTCAAAATAACACACTATTTCAAGTCATCCTTTACTCCTCGTGCAACAAGGTTTACCAGGATGGCAAAATAGCGCACCCATTATTTCAAAAAATATTTCAAAATAACAGGCGGCTTGTGTAGCTGAGGGGTAGCTATCCCGAAATAGCCATGCAGTGTAGATGTACCTTG